GTGCAGAGGGGACCGACCAGGGCCTTTCTCCGCTGGATGGGCTGCTAGGCCACCGCCAACTTGCTGGACGTGGGGATTTCTACATACACGTGCTTGCCAGCTGTGAACTTGGCCAGAGGCGGTGACCGGGACACTTGCACAGGCCCAGAGAGGCCCCTCGGCACAGGCTCGTCTGAGCGCGCTGACTTCTGACCATACATGAGTAAACCAAGGCTCCATTTCACATGGAGACCGGCGGGCAGCGGCAGACTCAGAACAACACAGCCTGTGCAAGGAGGCGCCACACCTGTGCTAGACGCTGGCAGCTGCTGCTTCATCCTTCGGAAATCTCCCAACACGGGGGGCAGGCCCTGGCTCCTCCAGGTGCTATCCACCCGCTCTGACTCCTCACGTGGCCCCAGAACAAGTCCGACACAGGCTCACCACACTTCGCGAGCATGCAAGGTGGGGTCTCAAAGGGGGGCCCGCATAGCTTCAGCCGAAGCACAACAGGGAGCGAGAAAAGACGTCCCTTCAGACACGGGACGCTTCCATCTGTGTTCTTAGGCTAATGACTGCTTGGAAGCGAAACGAACGGAGCGAAATGTTAGCAGCGAGGCGACCTGTGCATCTTGACTCCCTTCTGAAGCCCCACGGTCTCCACGCGGGTCTGCTCACCTGTCCTGCAGTTGTGAAACTCCAGCGCACTCTCGATGCGGAAGGTCTTCTCACAGGTGCCACACCGGTATCGGTACTCGCTGTCCACCTGGGCAGAGGGCAGCACGTGAGAGAAGGACACGGGAGCGCGCTCCGCCAGCACGGGCTCCCGGACGCACCGTCCTGGAGGCTTGCACGCGTGTGTGGGTTACGCTTTCTCTGCTTCTCACCTACTCAGTTTAGGCGCGTGGAGCATTTTCACTCTTCCCGCCCAACTGCCCTGGAAAGAACCCCGTCCTCAGCCGCCAGCGCTGCCACCCGGCCAGGCCACCGGGCCGCCAGACTCCCTCCCGGGTCCGGGCTCTGTTTTCTCTTCCCAGCACGAGCGTTCCCTCCACGGCCTGCTTCTCCCCACAGCCAGAGGGGAGCCCGCGGTTCCACCCACCTCGGTCCTGCTGTGCTTGTAAGACACGTGCTGCTTCAGCGACTCCTTGCGACTGAACAGCTTCGTACACTCCTCACACTTGAACAGCTTGTCGCCTAAAGGAACCGACCAATAGAAAGCAGCCTTG